TTCAAACATTGACCTCCGATCTTATGAAAAAACGATCCAAGTATAATCGATATCGATTTATCTAGATGAGATGATCTTGAGACCGTACAATCATACAATTAAGATCACAATTTTAACAATCTTGTAAGGAGCACATCTTTAATTAAAAGATGATATAATATTATTTTGATTAATATTTCGATAGATTATCTACATAGGTTAGATATCATTATATTTTGTTGCTAGTACATATATAGTCTTTCAAATTTTTGTGAGGGCTTACCAGCGGTGATTTATATGTCGATCGACCGTCACAATTCTCTTGAGAACCCAGTTTGATGGATTTGTGATAGAATTTTTCCTTGGCTAATATTAGTGTGTAAAAAGTGTGTTTGATTTTATTTTGTAATAACGTATCAAAACATTTACATTCAACATCTCCTTTGCATTACACAAAAATTGTGTCACAATCATGTTCTAATATATAGAACCATGGAAGGCCCGACAAGGGTGTATGAGTTTGGTAGAAAACTCATTATTTTCCGTGGACTTAAGTCATTCTTGCATTTTATAATACTCTTTAAACTTCTATAGGTGGTCACAAGTAGTTTAGATATATCGTGATAGAATCTAATGATTTACAATGGTGTTAAGATTCATGTCAGTATCTTTTCATCCTAAACCATACGTACTTCATAATAGAGGCATCCATTATATATAAGCATTTAAAAATCTATCCAAAAAAACAAATCACGCGCGGTAGTATCTTTTGATTGTAAATCGTATGTACCATATCTCTTTTCGAAAAAGTGGTCCTATCGCTACCAATGTGCGAGTAACATCAATAACAATAAACCCGATTGAGACATCGTAAACCATACAAGACAAGATAACCACAATAATCACATCTTTTTGGTATTATCAAAATGTGGTCCTTCAACAACGAACATGACACACCTTCAAGCTTTTTCTTCAAACAATAAAATATGTTCAGTGTTACAGACTAAATTTACTTGTAGTTTGAAGATTATATTCGTAAAAAAAAAGCATTTTATATATGGTCGATAAGAGCATATCTATTGTTAGAACATATATATCTATGATAGCCATAAACAATATTATAGCACTTATAATGTTCTTATGTTTTTTAAGCAAAGAAAACATTATATATATCCACATCTACTCTGATATTTGTTAATTTTTCATTTCAAAGATGATAACTTTTACATTGTCAATGTATATAATATATCAATCATTATGGCAATAATACATAAACTAGATTTGCCACTAGGAAAAAGATGATCAAACAAAAATAAAGGAGGGTTAGAATGTCTCCATCAAGGAGGGCCATAGTATAACCTGCTGGAATCAACAAAATGTCCATTGCCATTGTCATCTCTCTCTCTCTCTCTCTCTCTCTCTCTCTCTCTCTCTCTCTCTCTCTCTCTCTCTCCCTGCAAATTTCGTCTTTATCAAAACACTCATAAGAACCCAATGCGTAGAGACCAAAAGGACCCACAAAATACAAGTAGATATGTGGCATTAAAGATAGAAGACATTGAACAAGACAAAAAAACCATTCTGAATCGAAATGCTTAGATTTATGATCTGCTCATTGCTGTTGCCCGTAGATCATCATCTGTCAGATGTCTATAGTAATAAGAAACCTGAAAATTACCATATATTTTATCTGTCTTCAGATCATATTAACTGATATTTATATATAGTATCTAAACATATATTAATGAAAGTATGTATTGTAAGCGTTTAAATGGTATTCCAAAATACGTCAAGAAATCAGAGTGAAGCTAAATCAATCTGATTATCATTCTTGAAAGCAATTGTGACAAGTTAAAAAATTGTGAAGTTGCCAAGGCGATGTAACTTGAGTCATTTTCGTCCCGCAACTAAATTACATAAATCAGAAACCATTATCAACTTGTAGGAGTGATTAAGGATTATGGGGCAAGAATTTCTACCTCAAACTTTCTCAAATTAAACACACAATCACACATGGTTACAAACGTATTTACAACAACCTGTCAAGTGATTTTTATGTGAAAAAAGACACTGACAGACGCCTACTTTGCTATTGAGAAAAAAGAAAAGCAAAAGAAAACCTTGAGGATTTCTTTAGGGCCATTAGTATACATTAACTTGTAAAGTGATGATGCCTAGGGTACCTTAATCTAGATATGTTAGGTCTTGATCAAGTCTAATTAAAAATAGAGATCTCTTAAAAATATATAGTTACACACATATT